AAGCGGTGAATCGTTGAAACGAGATGGGTACTGCCGCACGAGCTTCTGGCAGGAATGGATCATATTGGGTGATTACAAGACGAACAAGTGTCTTGTGGCTTCCAGATAACGCCTCGACCACCCGTATAATATCCAACTCCGATGCAAAGGCTCCACGTTGAAAAATGAACGAGTTATCAAACCCACGCATGTTCTTCCGCATCGTCCGATCCGCCAACTCAAACGTTTCTAAATTCTTGGTAAGTTGAAGAAACTGGGCTAAACTGTCCATCAGCTGTCCGCTGGTTCTAGCCACGGTCAATTCTAAATGTCGGAGTGCGCAGTGCGCTTCGGTAGGCGGATACATCAAAGGATGAACGCTTCCATTGTCTATCTGAATGTGTGCAAATAATGTCTTGAGGTGTGGAAAGTCAAGTAGGCAACGAATTAGATCGACTGGGGTGACCTTTCCTTCGCGTTGGTTTAGATAGACGCCGTTGAGCCTCAACTCTGCAACATTTCGAAACGGATATAGAGTACTTCGGGTTATGATAGACGTTTCAATGAAAGGAGGAGATTGAGAAGGGAAAAGGGCGTCGAGTGAAGGTGCGCTTATAGTTTGCAGGTTGACGAATTTGCGGATGACCCGATAAAATGTCTCGAGCCCTGCATTCATGATGGACCATTCTGCTTTTTCTTCAAGGTAGATTGTCTTTCTTTCATTGGATGTCTTGGGTGTAGTTACGCTCAACGCAATATACCGTCGAGTCGTCTGGTCTTTTGTCGTTTTAGGTACTCGACAGGGAACCATTCGGACTGTGAGGCCGGTCACGACGTGAGACAGAGAGTAAGATAATGTTTTCGAGTCCATGATCTCGTTGAGATATGGTAACTCTCTCCATTCGACACAAAGCGCTTTGCGTTTCCAGAAGAGCGGACAGAGAACGTGGTTTGTCGCACGCGAGACCAACCGGAGAGAAGGAAGATCAGGTTGGTAGACTTGAGAGAGAATGATTTCTATAAGTTCGACGGGTAAATCGTCCCAACCCATTGGTGGTGTTGTGGTCGGCGGCAAAGGAGGTCCTTACACACTTGCCTCTGACCATGTGGGGGAATCTCGTTGAGGACGCCATGACAGCCTTGGAGAAACTGTTGGCTGTCGATCACATCTTATTCCTCATAAAAATGAGTGTCTAGCCTTTACAACTTGGGTCAACATCCTCATCATATGCTTCTAATCTTCAACAATCGAGAGAAGACCATTGTACCTGTTAGTAAGTCTACTCGATGGCATGGTAAATAAAAAGTAGGTATTATGGTGTGACATTGTGGCTTTGAATATAACTGAATAATTCTCCACGCGTGCCGCCATCAACCGGCTCTCTGGTAATAAACCTTTCTTCCCTTCCATCTCATTTCCGCACCACTTTATCCTGCCATATCAACTCTAACATTCCAATCTCATCAAAAAAGGGCAATGGGATTCTGCGAACCACTTGGCTTCGACTGAGCGACGTCCCAATGTTCCATAATGCAAGTTCCGTTCATACGAAGGATATCGACTACCGCCTGGAAGGGTTGTCCTGATGACTCCATCTTTTGATGGAGCCAACCCACACCGTTGCTAAATCCCTTGTTGGCGAGGGTGAATTTGAAACCGCTCCAGATGGACGATAGCGCGTTGATCGCATTTTGGCGACCGCTTGTTGCGTAAGGGTTATGGTTGATATAGTTTACATCAACATGTTTATTGAAGGCACCGGGCACGTCCTTTTTAACCCAGAGTGCCTGGTAGAATTCCTCGAATATCTGCTGTTGCTCGGCTTCTGTTGCGGGTCTTGAGGGGCAATATGATGTTTGTGCATTCGAGAGAGAAGCAGCTGCCAGTGCCATGAAAGAGACAAGATGTCGGAACCGCATGGTAAGTTTCAAAGCAGTGGGTTATGGTGACTTGACAGACGGTAACCACAGGTCGCCAGTGAAGGGGCGATTCGTGCAAGACTCGGTCCTTGACCGCAATTTATAAGCATCGAAAGAGGGAATTATTCGGTGATACAGTTGATACCAAGCCCAGTCGATGCGGCCTGAGGGGTTCGTGAGGGTCGCCTATTCGACTGACGTTGTCTACATCAAAAGGGGAGCGAAAGCCGTCGAAGTGATCTACCGGATGAATTTTCGGAGTACCAGGGTCGTAAGGCTTCGACAGTAGGACCGGAACCATGTGATATTCTTCGTCAACATTCCCGAAGCGCGACTTAGACTTCTCATTTCCCCGTCCCCACACAAGTAGTGCAAACCAGAGCATAGGTCTAAATAACATCTAGGAAAATGGTGTTATTACAGCGTTACTCTCGATCATATGATTCATGATTCCTCCGATCTAATTGTTTCCTCAATTCTCGGGCAGAGACATGTCCATTGCCTTCACCTCATTCGACATAGTTTATCACACTCTATCCTTTGAAACTTCTGGTCTCGAAATATGAACATTTACCCACTGGGCCCCTTGAAACTTATCACCTGTGGTCCATGTAACTTTACCAGGAGAACGCTTATAGACAGTGTCCTGTACTTCTTGATAGTTGCCTATGACAAACGCTCCCAGTTCTCTGAGACTATTCCGTAATAAGTGAAGGATAACCTCCAGTTCATGGAGTGACAGCTTCGCTTCTCGCACAATAGTGAGAACGGCGAGAGATTTAGGGAAGCATATCGTGTGTGATTGTACGTTTTGAGGTGAGGCAGGTAGTACGGGTGTAAATGGGATCACTAGAGTTTCCAGGGAGGTGAATTGCCGAAACGAGATGAGCACTGGATCACGATTTCCTTGCAAGAAGGGATCGTATTGAGTAATATTGAGACGAACGAGAGTCTCATGGCTCCCATATAGGGCCTCGACGATACGAGGAATGTCCAATTCTGGTGCAGAACCTCCTAACTCCCAGACAAATGAGTTGCTTAACTCGCCCATGGTCTTGCGTGTCGTTCTATCATCCAACAAAAACATGTGTAGGTCCTTGGTTAGTCGAAGGAACTGAATTAGGCTGTCCATTATTCGCCCATTGTTCTTGGCGATGGTCAGTTCCAGATGCCGAAGAGCACAGTTTATCTTGGTGGGAGTGTACACCAAAGGGTGCACATTTTGGTCTGTTTGCACATGAGCAGACAGTGTTTTAAGATGCGGAAAGTCGACCAAGCAACGAATGAGATCGCCCGGAGTGACTTTGCCTTCACGCCGATTGAGCCAGACACTATTGAGTCTCAATTCCTCAATATTCTGGAAAGATTGTAGAGTGCTACGAGCGATAGCGAATGTTTCAAGCGATGAAGATGAGGCAGCCACCAAGGTATCGAGCGAGGGCACGCCTAGAGTTTTCAAGTTGGCGAATTTGCGAACAATTCGATAAAATATGTCAAGCCCAGCATCGGTTATAGACCACTCCGCCTGTTCTTCAAGAAGGCTATCCGTCTTTTTATCTGAATTCTTGGCTAAAAGCATGCTCAAAGTCTTGTGGCGTCGAGTTGCTTCAGCCTTTGTGCCGGAGAACGACGTCGGCTGCGTCTGTGGTACCACTGGTATTCGAGTAGGGACCGTCCGAACTTTGAGACCCGTAACGAGCTGGGACAAGGGATACGATAATGAGTCAGAGCCCATGATCTCTTCGAGATACGGCAACTCTTTCCATTCGACACACAGCAATTTACGTTTCCAAATGAGTGGGCAGATGGCGTGGTTGGTCGCACGAGAGACGAACCGGAGAGAGGGAAGATCCGGCTGGTGAACCTGAGAGAAAATAATTTCCATTATTTCGACGGGCAGTTCGTTCCAACCCATTATGTGTGTATGCGTGTGTTGTGGTTTGTGACCAAGGAAAGATTGCAGCTTACGACCCTATTATAGCGCCCTGCTTTAGGCGCGCCCACTAATCAGCCCTTGTGATACGAGTTTTTCTTGGGTGGCGATACCATTCTGCGCCTGAATTTAATATCCGAACAATGGAAAGCGATCTTTCGCAAGGTGCTTTCATCCCGGTCCCATCTTATCACCTTATTTCTTGATCTGATATTCGTGCTAAGGATCGTACACAGAAGGAAGGTACGGTGGCAGGGTGATTTCCATACTCGCTCCTTGCCATTTTTGCTAAGTTCCATTGAATCTACATAAGATGGCTATGATTGATCTCTTTCCCGCTCTCAATCGGCCATATGACAAGAAAAAACTCCAACAATCCCGACTTCAGCTCCTGACTGAGATACGTCAGTTGTGGGGCATGAAAGAGCCCAGCACAGACGACTTGGATGACATTCGTACAAAAATGGCATATCATAATAGCATCGTTGACATTATCAATGGGCCGGAGGTCACAGCTCGTCTATACCCGATCCACAAACTCCCTCCAGAACTCTTCACCCAGGTACTCCGTGAAGTTTCCTTCGAGGGATTTGTTGTCGATACATTAAATCCTCCCAAATGTCGCTGGAACACCAAAGTCCTGTTCCGCCTGACCTTGGTATCTCAAAGTTGGAAGAGTTTTATTACGAGCACGCCCAGCTTCTGGACGTACATCATTCTCAGCGAATATCGATCCAACAGAGCATCGACATGTTTGCAACTCTCTCGACAGTTACCGATATCCTTACACATTATTTACTCTGTTACAATGGAGACTTCCACGATCTGGCAGGAGATGTCAAAAAATCGTGACCGAATAGTTTCCGTCATCTATGAAGACAAGCTTGGCCGTAGAGAGGGAGACAGGCAAGGTGACCCTGAATCAAGATTTAGGAGTTGTATGAAAGGTCTACCTCTTCTCCCTGCCCTCGAGATCCTCAAGTTCCCAGATTTCTACTCTGTCAGCTCTGACCTCCAATATGCCTTGGACCTATATCCCACATTGCGGGAGGTATACGGTTGCCAGCTGGAAGAAAATCACATTCAATGTTTGATGTCGCGATATTCTCCATGCATAACTATTCGCAAGAACTTTAAATCGTTATGGCCTCTCCTAGCGTCCAACCCTCTTTTGAAGGACGTCAAATGCTTGTTCTATCTGCGCGAGTGTGACACCTCACCTATCGTCCCTGGTCCTTTGGATTGGAGGAGACTATCTGTGACTCTTATTAACCTACCGTTCTCCATCGGGATTACGGAACAACTCACACAGCTCGTTGAGTTAAACGTTCGAGGATACTTTGCCACTCTTTTTCAACTCTTTAAAAATATATATCGACTTTCCCAACTCCAAAAGTTGAAAATAGAGCTACTAATCGACAACCCAATGATGGTACCACAGGATTTACCAGTTTCATTTTCCAGCAATGCCGCCGTCGAAATATTTGACTTATATCTCCGCTTTATATCGAAAGGTGAATTAGATTCATTGGATGATGATGATGAGTCAGAATCATCGGAGGAGGAGGATCTCCCCATCGAACCTGCAGAAAAGCAGAAAATCGAGGAGTTTGTGGCCATGATGATCAAGAGTTTGCCTGTCATTCGAGACCTTCGGCTTTCTATCGATGATTTACCAGGAGTATCTACTCTCGGCGGGGTTCTTGATCTTAGGAAATTACATCA